CTAAGGAGAAACTTCCTGACAGTTAGAACAATTAACCAATGGAACAACCTGCCTCCAGAAGTGGTGAATGCTCCAACACTGGAAGTTTTTAAGAAGAGACTGGACAGCCGTTTGTCTGAAATGGTATAGGGTTCCTGCCTGGGCAGGGGGTTGGACTCGATGACCTCCAAGGTCCCTTCCAACTTTATTATTATTATTAGTAGTAGTATTGGTTACTGGACTGAGAAAATGTTGGGCAGCACTATAATCTGGAATTGAACCCTTGAAAAAAGTGTTAGATGAACAACTAATGTCACTGAATCTTCATAACTGTGGGGAAAGTTGCTGCATAGGACACCACCAATAACAGTGCAGTTCTTTCCTATTATAAAACAATAATGGACTAGAATTGCAGCATGGAGAGAGACAAATACAATAATAATGAATAATGGGCTCTGGAAGAAATGAGGAAGAAGAAAAAGTTGATGGTGAGTATGAAAAAAAGTTGTTATAAAACACTGACCCTGTGAAAAATTGGTCTAGTTAAGAGAAAGCTGTGGGATTAAAACAGGACTAAGATAACAATCAAGCTGTCAGGTACCAAAACTCAAAAAGATTATAGAAATGTGGAAGGAATAAATGGCCACAGGTGTAATTGGAGGGAAAGCAAATAAAATTTCTACATAGATTTAGAAATTACTAGAGCAATATTTGGCACAAATGAAATATGTCTGTGTATACTTAAACATACGGTATTTATTAATAACACTGGCATGATGTTATCTGAGTCATGCCTCGTTCTGATTTGGTGAGGGGTCGTGAACATATCAATATGGCATAGAAGCTATAAAAATGAAATAATGTGATTTTATGACAATATAATTAACATTTTAAAAGTCACGGGTGTCAACTCGATCACATGATGTATCGTGACATATCACAACTTTTTTGCCTTTGCGGAGCCAGGGTGGGCATGGCCTGTGTATGACGCATCCGACCCATGGGCTGCCAGTTTGACACCCCTGCGTTAAGGTATTATTGTGAGAGATAATGAATACTGAATCAAGTAATCAAGACTGAATCAAGGATAGAGGGTGGGAAATACAAGCTATATAGCAAATATGAAAAGTATTTTTGATATATGGCTCATGTGTAGAAAAGGAAGGGAAATGGAAGTTCCCTACCAAACATACACCATTTAATAAATTTTATATTAATAAGTATAACAAAGAATACATCTTGTAAAGCACACTGCGTGCATGTAGAGCTGTCTCTGCATGTGAAATTCATAATTGTAGTTACATAAAGAGGCAACTCCCAATGCAATTATTTTGGAACTAGAAAGTCCACATACTTGACTTAATGCGTGTTATGCTTAAAGGCTGAAACATTTAGAAATAAGAATCTAGATTCATTTGGCTGCACAGATTACTTTTTACCAAATTCACATTAACCATCTTCTTTTCTTTAACATTCCCATTCCTCATTCTCATCCATTGTAGATAAAGAGAACCAGCTGCAATAATTTTCCCATATTTTTTTCTTTCAACTTAGAAAAAAGTTGAAAGAAATTCCAAAACACTTTAGTAATTTAAGCTTAGTCATTAAATATGTTTCAGACTGTGTAGTTAAAGAAATTTGATCAAAAACACCAGACAGATTTCCAATCAAAGCTGTATGCTGAAATCAAATTTATACAATCTATCAATATTTATTATGGTCACAGACCAACAAATTTACACAAAGTTAACACTTTTTAAATTCAGAGGGCACTGAGAAGCATTTACCTTTTATTCAGAAACTTTTTTGGAGACTTTAATAATTTACTAAACTTGTCATATCTTCCATTAACAAAATTGTAGATGAGCAGGCTGACCCAATAGTGAGATCAAGTTCCATCAGTTTGGAATCTTTGCTCTCCCATAAAAAAACTACATCCAGCCCCCTGTGAATTCCGTTGACCATTATTTAGCACCATTTTGGCTTGACCATTGGTGGATCAGATTCTTATGTATAGGTAGCATGTAATAAATTTTTAGTGCTTGAATTCCTGGTTATTCGTGTCTGACAAAAATAACTACAAATTGTAATCAAGAGAAGACAGACTTGAATTATTTCTTTTTCTATCACTGCTAGTAGAAAAGCTGTAGCTTTGGTGAATGGAGAAGATACTACAATTAATATGTAGATGCTACATACTACAGCTGTTAACAGTTATTATTTGAATAAAACTCTCATGATCACCTACTTGAGGTAAAAGTTATGGGAACTAAAGTTCTTTAATATCTGGAAAGTACATTTGTTTTGGCACTTTTGTTTATGCCTACTAACTTGGATTTTATTTCAAAGTTCTAATAAAAACTAAGATCATTTTGTAAATTATACATGAATGTATTGTTATAATTTGGGAATCAACTTGATAATTTTAAGTAATGAATATATCATGATGGGATTGTTTGCATTGTAAAATTCAGTATCAGCTTGAATATTTCAGTAGATAGGCTTACAGTGAAAACTAAATGAATATTGCCTGTACTGTATAGGTTTCCAAAGATGATTTAATTCATTTCAAAGATATTCATAATTTCAGTTTATCTTCTATTTAGCAGATGCTCTGACATGCCATGTTAAAACTTCATAAAATCTTATCCTGAATAAACTTGTACAAAAAGGAAATAAAATGATCCCAACATCAAGTTAGAAATTTTTATTTCTACAGGGGAAAATATGAGTGCAAATTGTATTCATACGAAACAAGACTGTGATCGTTGGCACCAAAAGTGTTGCAAAGTTTTAAGTATTGAAGGGCTTTTGTTTTAGAACAGCTTTATTGTCTATGCAACCAAGATAATTTTCATTCTAAAAATCTAAAATATAGGTGAAAGCTATTTTAAAAATCAGTAGCATCCAATTATACCTGCAGTTGTCTAGTTCCTACTTTTTTAAATAATTGCTTCAAACTAGAAGCTTAGAAATTGTCCTGTAATGGTGTGAACACTAGAAACAAATGAGAGATCAATTTTTAAAATTTACAACTCATGTTACTGATTTTCATTCACAGCTTCACCTACATATAATTGAACATATACATACATCTGAAGTCAGCTATGGAAGGCATACGGTCTCTGACAATAGTCTCGCTCAATATTGGTCAGTGATCAACACATGCCATAGGTTCAATTGTCATATTGATGCTATTGAGATAAATTAACATACGACGTGGTATATCAGTTTCCTATCAACCTTGAAGTAAAGAAGTGGGCTTTTGATATAACTTGAGTCTAAAATAATTTGTTTTAGAAAAACACTAGAATTATATCAATATTACACATAGTATCCATCACCAAAACCAAATAATCCAATAACTTACCTGCAAGAGTTAACAGAATGTATCCAATGCACAAAAAAGCAACTGGCAGCCTCACCATGTCTTGGCTTTTATTTTTATAACATGAAGTAAAGATATTAGAATTAAACAAAAAAATTCTTAGTAAAGTATGTATCTCTCCAACCACAACACCTTCAAATCTTGTAGATGCCTTAAATGTCCAATTAACAGGGAAGGTGGGAACAAAACACAATCCAGTCACAAACTAGTTTAACATTTAGCAGCTGTTTAATGCAACACCCACACATAGATGTTGCAAGAATCATCCCTTAACTAATACGTAGTAAGAGGTATTTACATTGAGAAAATGGGACGAATCAAACTGCTGGCAGCCCTGAAGAGGCCTGGATCAATTTTTTTCGTTACTCATCTCTCTTCAAAGAAAATTCCCAACCTTTACAAATTTGTTTTTTAAGACTCAATACAGACAAACTTGATATGGTATAAAAACATACATATACCTTGCACTCATCCTGAAGAGGATAATGTTCTATTGGCTATCAAATCCCTGGAAATTAGGAATTCTTGTTTTTATTGGAAATGTGTTGTTCAATACTTTGATACTTCAATAATAAGAGCTTCTTCTTTCATTCATTAAATCAAGTATTAAACCTATTTTCTGTCTTTAAATATTGTTAAAATATCTGGATGTCCCTAGGTGAAGTTGTTTGATTAGTGCTGAAAGATACATAAGAAAAATGCTGAATTTCAAGAAGCCAGAATCTTTCCCAGACTTTTAATTCCCACCTTTCCAGTCAGCTGCAGACTCATACATCTGTAGGGCAGACCATGGAAATTTGATATAGAACTTCAGAGCTGCTGGATTATCCCGTACTTGCAAGATTTCAGGCCTAGTTAGTGCTTCCGGAGTTAAACCCAGAGTTAAATAGACAGTTTCATCTGCACAATGGACAGTATTTTACTAATTTATATTTATTTGGCATACAAGTAGTCTTTGATATATAACCATTTGTTTAGTGACTATTCAAAGTTATGGCCACCAAAAAAAGTCTTATGACCATTTTCACATTTATGACCATTGCAATATTTCCATGGTCACATAATCAAAATTTGGATACTTGCAAGTGGCATGTATTTATGATGATTGCAGTGTCCCAGGGTATGTGATATCTTTTGTGATCTTCTGAAAGCAAAGTCAGTGGGGAAGCCAGAGTTACTTAACAACTGTATTACCAACTTAACAACTGCAGTGATTCAGCTAAGAACTGTGGCAAGGTCATAAAATGGGGCAAAACTGACTCAACAACCATCTTGCTGAGAAACAAAAATTTTGGGTTCAATTATGGTCATATGTCAAGGACTACTTGTATTTATAGCACAAAAATGAACCAAGTTTCCATGATTTATAAACTGCAGAATTTAGTAGGGCTACTACACCTGGGTTGCAGAAACCTAGACCACTAAATAGCAGCAGAGGTAAAGAAAGTTCCAACCCTTTGCTGCCATTTTGTATTTCTTTTCTGGAAGCTCTAAATTTGAAGCATCGTCGTATAATTAGCTTTTTTGCATACAACATTACATTTTGTTGCAAAAATTACTTTCTCGAATGGCATTGCTTTATCTTCTATAAGAGGATTTCTTTGAACTGATGATCAAATGAAAAATAAATATCTTGCTTTGTCTTGGATTGCTTAGCCTTTGCAATCCTCTAAGTGTGAATACATTTGAGAAGTAACACCATTTTCTAATTTCTCAAGGGAATCGCTACTGTAAACAAAATATTGTTCAAAGTTGTTCAATATGGCATTCCTAGAAGAAACATATTGTGTTAATGTAGCTGAATTTATACAAATATATTTGACTTGAATCAGCCTGTGTTTACCTTGGAATATGTTTGTGCTGGATATTCCATTATGTGCCTTTGATCTTTTCATCAAAATGAATCCAGGTACCTATCTGGTCAAAAAACAGATGTTCATATTTCATAAACCACTTCTACTTAATCTAGATCTTAAATCCTCTTCTAAAAATAGAAAATTCTATCCTGCAATTCTATCCTGGACTACTGTAACGCTCTCTACATGGGGCTCCCTTTGAGGAGCACCCGGAGGCTTCAAATGGTCCAGAATGCGGCCGCACGGGCGGTGTTGGGAGGGACTCGTCGCTCCCATGTGACACCGCTGCTGCGCGAGCTGCACTGGTTGCCAGTGGCCTTCCGGGTGCGCTTT